ACTTCGTAACTACGTGTACGGCAGTCGCTCCAACGAAAGCAAGAGTGATGGCACCGGTGTCGAGCTGGATAATAATTCGGTCAAAGGCTGTCAATGTGATCAGCGAAGAAAGAGAAACATACTCTGGTTGAATCTCTTAAGCGCGTTACGTTTCGTCAACCTTTGGGACGGCGGCGAAGTATAGACCTATCCTGCATCAGCAACGGCAAGAAGCAAGCGGACAGCACAGACCGGAGCAATACGCCGAATCGAGTCGATCGGGAGACGGTGGTGAGAACCACGATGAGGACGCTTGAGTTTCTCCATGACCTGAGACGGTCTAGAACTAGAGATGAGCAAATAGATACAGGTCGAAGGAAGAGGGACGGACCACTTGAAATTATCATTAGAGGGAAAGGCTGCGGCAGCATCGCGAGAATTTTCGAGGACGCCAAACAAGGAAAGTTCTCAACCATGAAACCCAGACGAGAACGAGGAGGGGGTGCCGCGCGGGATTAATGGATGGGGTAACGCGATATATCGAATGACCTAACCCCAAAGAGACCCGAGAGAGCGAAAACGATGAGATGTCGCGCGCGGAGTGTGTAACACGCTATATCCAAAATTGCGACGTCGACCATCTTTGGCTGAGTCGATAATCTTCGTCTGAAGACCCAAACCGAGGAAAGAGATTCGAGAGGATGAGGGGGTGTCGCGGGGGAATAGTGGAGGGTGTCGCTATATCCAAATGCTGAGTGTCGCCCGTCCTTGGCCACGTCTGGACGCTTCATTGTTCTGGCCCCGAAACCACGAACGCAAGAAAGAGACGAGGAGGAGAGGAGAGGGTATCGCGCGGAATTAATGAAGATGGTGGGGTTTTTGCACTTTATATCCGAAGCGCCAACGACCGTCCTACTCCGCTTGGTGGTGTTGCCCTGAGCGAACTGATCAGGGAAATCGGAAAGGAATTTGAAAGGAGGAAACGAACCTATAACCACCATACCTGCCCCGAAGCTCGCTTGGGCTTCGCGAGTGGTGCTGCTAGAGTGTGCGCATTCTCTTTGTCAAATGTAGACACCGCTCGTGAGCCAGTCGCCTTTATCGCCGTAGGTCGTACTCGTTTGGCAAATGGTTCGTCCTTCCAAGTGCCCTTCATGCCAGCTAACGGCTTATTCGAGCAGTCCGTAATAATGCCCAGCTGAACCGCTTTCGCATACAAGGCGAGGAATTTATCACGTTGGCGGTCCGCTTCCTCGAAGTTGGGGACGTAGACGGGCGGTGGGACTTCCGCTGGTAGGGACGCAACAAAGGCGGGTACAACATTGGGTTTGTAGGCGTGCACAGGCCGGGGCGAATGGATGATGATGGCAGGGGCGGCGACGAATATGGATGTGACGGCGAAAAGGCTGCTTGCTTGCTCTGGGACGAGCGAAAAGCTATTGACGAGGGGAGAGGGACGCGGAGCTGTCCACTTCCTGCGCGAGTGGACGGCGACCGTGGGCTGAACGAGAGAGCCCGACGACTTGACAGCTACCACGGCGAGGTGGGGTAGCTGCGCGATAGGAGCTGTTACGGTGCTAGCGACGAGCGGAGAGGAACCCGGGGGTGTCCAGCTCTTGCGCTTGAGAACGAATGTCGTTGGCTGGACCGAGGTAGAGGTCTTGATAGCCGCGACGATGGGATGAACGATGACCGGTGCTGTCTTGGGAACCTCGACAGCGATCTGATAGTGAACAAGTTCAGTAAAAATGCGACGCTATGTGCCAAACATATGCACCTTGGGGATAACGGCGACGACGGAGAACTCAGAGTTCTTGTAGACATCCATGAGCAGATGAAGGAATAGTGAAAGAGAACTAACCTCGAGGTCAGTCTGAGACAAAGGTCAGTCAAATGCGACGTTCTCTTGACGAAGATATCACCTTTGAGGGAACATCGACAATCGAGAACTCGGCGGTCCCAGAGTTCTATACAACAGACGTTCATGAGATCCTGAATGATTGAAGGGAGAAGCGACCGAACCTCGACGTCAGTGACACAATCTCCTACCCTCTTGGCCAGGGCAGAGATGACGAGGTAGGCACCAGCACAGAACAGTGCAGCACCGAATCCAAGCACGAGTGCAGGGAGAACAAAGTTGGGAACAGAGGGCGCGGTAGCTGGGAGAGCTGGCATTTCGAATGAACGAATAGAGAGAGAGGAGTTGCTGTGGCCCTACGCATTTATGGGTCCTCCATTCCATTCCCAACTGAGACATCATCCCGCTATCCGCCATCCGCGCATTGTCTCAGTTCGAGGTAGGTCCACATATCGAGAAGAGGCCGGCCGCGGGTGAGTTTATGTTGGTGGATCGTCGTGGTCGTGGTCGTGCCCACTGGCCATACTGAGTCACGTCACGCGTCTTGTGCTCGCCATCCTTCAGTTTGGGCGTTTACAACCGCCATAACCCTCTGATTTCCCTTGTAAATGCTCAGAAATCTCGGAGCAGAAAACTTCCTGCGGACTGGTTACAACATAAATTCCACGACTTGCGACTCGGATCGGAATCTCGCTGGGTGGGGAAGCAACTTACTCCCTGAAACTGAACTGAAAATTCATGGTAACCTTGCACGTAACTTTGTGTCCGCAGCCAATCTTACGAGCAAGTGAACTGAATTACTAGAATCCCACAACGGCTGTTGGTGGCCGGAGAAAGGTCAGCGCTTCAGCGCCCATCCCGGCGTTGCTTGTTCTGTGCTGCGGAAAGGAAGATCATCAACGCGTTCACCTACTTAAACCCTCAGCGTTGAGCACCACCGTGTCCTCGGTTAACCCTCCTCGACGATGCTCCTCTCACGCGCCATCGCTCTCACCCTCTTCGCTAAAGCCGCTCTCGCACTAGCGCCAGTCGGCCACACTGCATCCGGCGCACCCATCTTCGTTGGGCCGAGCGGGTCACTCGTGAAGCAATCCGGCTCGAACCTGGAGGTGTTCGCACCCAACGGGACTCTTATCCATCTTTTCCAGGACGTCATCCACAATTCTAAATCCAAGCGTACATCGCAACCGACTCCGAGTCTCGCTCGGCGCCAGGATTTGAGCCGCACCGAGGCCTACGCTCAGGTTGGCCCAACGGATGTGATACAATCGTTCAACGCTACTTTCGTCGTCCCTCCTGCACCGACGTCGTTCGAGAGCCAGATCATGTACTTCAGCGCGAACCTTCAATTCTTCGACGACACTGGTGTTCTCTTCGCAAATCTTCGCCCTTCCCTACAGGTCCGTGCAACATTTTAAACTTTGTCTGGAAATCGCACTGAACACAATTAGTACGGAGGCAGCTCGACGCAAGGCGGCCCCTTCTGGACATACGCACTCCAACTCGAGCTTCTTCCCAACCTCGGATTCTTCGAGATTTCGGCCATCGGGGCCAACTCCACCCTCGAAGTTGGGCAACGTCTTGACAGCGTAATAACGCAGGATACCGAAGACTCCGACCCGGGCTTCATTTTCTACTCCGCAACATTCGAAAATGTGCCAAACGCCATCCAGTTCGACGTCGGTTTGCAGTTCCCCCCGCAGATTGTGGCGCTTCAGATGGAGGAGGAAGGCGTCGCGCAGGACAGCGACTACCCTCAGGGCTCTCTCGTCTTTGAATCGGTCAATCTCAACTTGACGAGCGGTGCTCCTACGTTGTCCTGGAATACGAGCGTTGACCCTAGCACGAATGTCGAGGTCAAGGTGGATGTCGATGGGTCGCAGAATGCTCAGATTTCAATTGTTTTCCCCGATAGCTAGTGAACGAACTCACGTTGAAAAATACCGTTAAATGGATATCAGAGGAGCCTAGTTTGAGTCTAAGATAAGCAAATGGTAGGAGCAAGCGACAGCTCGTTGACGCTGCAATGCATGGTGGCGAAAGTTGACTTGGGCATGCGAGCCGTGAGTCTCTTTATCCCGAACTTGAAAGGCCGTACGTAGTACGGCGTCCCCACCCCAAACTTTTTGGAGCTCACTGGCAGTATCGCCCAGATAACCGGACTCGGAGCCTCAGGAGACAGAGTTGAGAAGTGTCAGCGGAAGTTGACGACTGATTCGATCAAAACGTTGTGTGAGCAGTCTTCGGGTCGGAGCTCTCTACTTCCACTACGGTGTAGGGCTCGATTTTTTGGCGAGTGAAATGGAGAGGAGAAGAAGCAAAAATTCCCATACGGGGGATCGAACCCCGGGCTACCGCGCTCAGTTTAAGCTCAAGGCCGCTTTTTAAACCGACACCGTTGCGCCCATCCCTCGCAAGGTCACTGGTCGCCCTACCCACATATGTCACCATTCGATCTGCCGCCGCTCCTTCCACCATATCGTCGACCATTTTGCAGATAACCCGAAGAACTGCCCCATTCAGAAGTTCAAGATCGCTGACGCGACGAAATCCGCCCACAACGCACGACTCGCTTCCTCTGCCCAAATCCTCGATGTGCGCCAATACCTCCGTGACAACAACATCGCGATTCCCGGCGAGGAGGAAGCGCCTCAGTCCCCTTCCGTGCAGTCAAATGCTTCGCCTCCCGTCCGCCCGTCTGCACGTCGGCGCCCGATGGTCCAAATTTCAAGCCCGATGGTCGCATCAACATCCCGGGTCGAGGAAAGTGACGATGAGCGTCCGGCCAAGGCTCGCAAAACTCTGCGCGGTCGTGTCCCGGTCGCGTCGACCTCCCGTCTCGACGACAGCGATGATGAGCGTCCAACTCGCAGGGTTTCGTCTCGTCGAAACGTGGTGATGTCGAGCCCTCCAACCAGTGATGAAGAGGTGACGCGCAAACGCCGTCGGCCTGGAAAAGAGAATGCGCAGCAGTAGTACTACCACGTTCTTTCATCTTACTTGTGACCGTCCTCTCAGTAGCTCCCGTTACTCTTATCGCTCTCACTCGCTCCATTCCTTACTGTTCTGTAGTTAGAATACTTGTGGAAAATGATGCATAGTCGTGATCATGTATGCCTCTTCCTCTGCACGTAATATCGGTGCGCCTGTAGAGCATATTGTCTCCCATATAGTGTAGTGGTTGAACATGGTCGCCTTTCAATTTCTTTGGCCTGAATCGCGACAGCCCGGGGTTCGATTCCCCGTATGGGAACTTTTGCCTCACAACTGATTGAGCAAGAATTGCGGCCGCAATGGCGCGAAGAACATGATGTCTGTTTTTTTTTGGTCACTCTCATCAGAAAAGCAGGAAAGATTCTCGATCCGACCTCGAGTCTCCGGATGCTTCTGTATTCGGCGCCTAAGCAGTCGAGATACATGGATAGGGCTCACATTGATCGTGCTCGTCGCTACCAACCTATTAAATCAAGCACAGCGTCGACCTCTCCCTCCAGGGTCTCCCTTCTTGTTATCTTACCCTCCTCCACTCTGTCATGCGCCCATTCCGCGTCATTCTTTCACTCGTTACCGTCGGCGCAGTGATCGCTGCCCCAGTTCGTACTTTCTTGTGGTTGCAACAGCCTTTTTATTGATGAATAAGCTAATAACGACCGATAGGCACCCACCGTCGTCGGCCTCGCTGTCATTTGTACTGCTGTAGACTTCAACGGCAGCTGTATCCAGTTCGTTTCTCCGGAACCCTTCGACTCGGCGCATCCCAGCGGATGCGTCCCCATGACCGCCCCGTTCAGCAAGAGCGTCTCGAGTGCGCGCGGCGTCACGGACGGGTATACGTGTTTCTTGTATGCGTGCGTATTATGACCCGGATATTTCTGCTCTAGCGCTGACTGTTCGCGAAATCGTTTCAAGGGACCTCGCCTGTGCAACCAAGCCGCTCGTCATCAGCGGCCAGATTCCTAACTTCATCAGCCCGTCGGTTGATTTTAACGACAAAGCAGTTGCGTGGAGTTGTGGAAGCGCTCTCAACTCTGTTTAGCTGCAGGCTTGGCAGAACCTTCCTCGGGGGTTAGTCGGACAACGGCGGTTATATGTGCGCTCTACGAAAGCTATCATTCGGTATTATTTGTCCGGTCCTCGCGTCGGGAGAATGCACATACCTCGAAGCTGCTCATGGCCACAAGTGGAGCGTCGGTGAAGCTGCCAAAACTGATCCGGAGCCTCAAAACTCAGACAAGGTTTGCGCGATATTCTGTTCGGACTAACCCATCCCGGGCTTGTAATACCGCGAGTTGAAGAAAGATGAATCATGTCATGTTAAGCCATACATGCGCTTCCTCATTTTCCTGGTGCTGGCACACTGCTTCCCCATCTACCTCCTTCTCCTCGTCTAACCATCGACACATCCCATCCGCCCGCTGAATCACCAGTTGCCCATCGACCACAATCTGCGAAACTAGTGGGCACAGCTCCGGCCTGAGCTGCAAACACCGCACAATGTTCTCGCAAGTGTCGGAATAGCACTGGTTCAGTTGAAGGCAAATGAGGGCGGGGAAGGCATTGAAGAGAGGTATGAGCCGTTCCTCTGGGCCGATGTCCATGCGGCTCAGGGTAAGCGAGTAGACGAGCGGGAACTTGGCCGGAGCTGGGGCGTTCCTCGGTCCGTTAACGTTGTCGAGGAGGTCGATAAGATCGTCCCAGATGCGACCCGCTGGATCGAGACAATCGACGACGAGGACGCGGAGACAAGAGGTGTTGAGGGCTGCGAAGAACGGGAGGCAGTCGTATTCGCGATCAATGTCCTCAGGAGACTCTTGAAGGTGCTCTGGAATGGGAGATGCGGCTAGTTCGCAAAGCTCGAGCGATTGCAGCCTAGTCACCGGTCCCTTGTCCGAATTCAACGGTGGTTCGGATATGCTCGGCAAACGCATACGGTTCAGCTTCAAAGATCGCGGGTAGCGGAAGATGGAGGGCCTCAGTCGACCGTTGTCGTCAATCAAGGACGTCGGGGCAATGCGATGCACCAATTCGAGTCGGTCGACGATATCGTAAAAGTCGTCGGAGAGCGATATGCCCTTTAATTGAAGATTCGAGAGCATGCAGCCAGAGTACTTGGGCACGGGGAACACCAGCGGGGCGAGTCCGGCTTCTTCGTCGGCAGTCTGCCAGGCGGGGGTATCGGTGGTAGGTGATCATGTGGGTCAGCAGATCGAACGAGTCGAAAGTTTTGGGACCACAAGAGGGTACGGGGCAGGTGGAAGGGTGTAAATTCGCGATGACCGCCGACTCGTGGAGTTTGAGATGAACCTGGTACTCCTTGTTGTTCGAGAACCTAGAGGCTACCGTCAGGACGTTCGAGAAGAATGCGGATGAAACTTACTGAGCCATGCGGACTTCAATCTCGAGCTCTTCATCATGAGCACAAAAAGGGCAAAAGGCGGGAGCGAGTGCGACCAGACGCTCGATATGCCCGTGGTACTCGGGTCTTTCACCTCCCAAGCTTTCACCGTTTTCAAAGGTGATGCAATTTGTTTGAGGATCCGTATAGTTGACGCCGGTTTGGGAAAAGTCGACGTCGGCATCGCCCCGGGTCGCATAAGGGTGGTAGAAGCCCATGAAGTGCTCGTTGCACCTCTCCCGCCAGTAGTCGCCGTGGCCCTCAACGTCGAGAAAACTACAAAAATATCAGCTTGGAACATGAGAAGTAGAAGAACAACGAACATCTCTGATGAGACGATGTCGTACTGGACGCGGACCTCGGGCCATACGTTGATGTCGTGTACCCGGCCGAAATGCTCTTCGCTGCAGTCAAGAGCACGACATTCACCATCTTCGCCAGCCCATAGACACCGAGCGGTCTCTTTACCAGCGTTTTTCGCAGCCTTGGCATGACCGCGCAAGTGAACAGCGTACTCTGTGCGCGTCGCCCAGACATGCTCCTCCATCGGACACTTTTTCCACCGGCAGGACTGGGGGATATACGCCTTGTCCAACTCCTCCGTCGCTTTGACCTGCGCATCGGACAGAACACACTTGTGAATGTGCGTTGCCATGTTGCCGGCGCTAAACGTATGCGTGTTCGGCGAGAGGTCCATTTTGCAGACGGCGCACTTGCAATCGTCCGTCGGGCCCTCGCCGGGATAGCACAGCGGCGACGGGTGGGTCGGAAGGCCGAGGAGTGTGTTGGCGCACGTCATGAAGTGCTCCGCCGGCGCGCTCTCGAGGGTGAAACTAGTCAGAATGATGTGCGCTTGTTGGAGGGGATCGGTGATGACGGGAAGGCGATGTGCGTGCTCGTTCGCGGTGCGAGTCGTGTTACTCGATGTCGCCGCCGCCATTGGCATGATCTCCGCTGGCTTCTGTGCTTAATGAGTCGAGTGTAAAGCAGAAAAAAAGAGCTTGAACGTACCTCGCCGCTCAACTGTCTCGCGGATGCTCCCTCAAAATACTTTTTGCGCTTTTCACGCAGGCGGCAGCGAGTTTCGGACACTACGATTGCTAGATGGCGTCGCTGCAGGGTCTTGGCCTCTTGCGAAAGGCTGTCGACGAGATCGCATTGCTTCTTGTGGGCCTCGTCGTCGTCGTCCCCAATGCCGGCTAGTTTGATGCGTTCGTCTTCGAACTTGTCCAGTACCTGAATTTGATTAGAGGGGCGATGACTAGAGCAGCTGAAAGTATACCTGTTGCCTCTCTGACCGAAGATCGACAAGGTCCGGCTCCGCGTTTATTGCTGCCAACTCTGCAGCCGAGAGCGCCAGCGGGGCGTTGGGATCGCGGTCGCGAGCCATGCCCGTGAGGAGCTAAAAGAGATCAATATGTGCACAAGGGTTTGGGAGATCTGTACCTTCATAATCTTCGAGTTGTTAACATCGGGGGCGTCCGTCCGCTCGGCCAGAATTGCGCCAAGGTCGGTTGTCCCCAGACGGGCCATATAATTCGCCTAGGCGGGAATCATTAGCATGGGGAGTGCAGACAATGGACAGGTTACGCACGTAGAACTGCTCCGAGTTGGATTTATGACCCATGAGCATCCGGCGCTCGGCGGCAGTGACCTGTGAATCGAGCTTGTTCGCAGTTCCCCGACGAATACAATAAAAGGTCATCCAGTCTGCAATGGTGTCAGCGTTTGGCATAAGATGAAATAGCAATGCTTACGCGAAAACCCCGCAGCAAGACTGAGTTGACGCAGCCGATCCGCAACTATGGCATACGGCATCGCGAACTCGTGCTTGACTGACCACTTTCCATCTATAATCTTGTCCCTTCTGATGACGGGAAGCGAGCGCTTTTCAGGTTTGATGGAAAGGCAGTGCGGAGCGTCCGGGGCCTCGCTGGGGTTGAAGATCTCCTCCACAGTCGAAACATTCTCGAATATGCCATCTTGAATCGCGAGGACGACGGCGTACATCAGCGTGTCGACGAGACGATGCGAGTCGGGCTCTTGCAAGATAAAAAACTGCTTGATAGAGGATTCGTTTTCGCGGAGGCCTTTGAGGAGGCGGATGGTGAGAATAAGAGCGACGAGTGGGTGTTTCGGGCTGGCGGGATTTGGGATGACCCAGAACTCGTGGTCGCCCCAAACAATGCATTCGTTGGTGCCGCGGTAGCTGCCGCATTCGACAACGGCGCCTGGTCGTTCCGTGGAAAGGGCGACGATGAGGATGGCATACATCATCATTACGCGCGCCTGGTTGCTGCGCATGAGTCGTCGATCTTGAAAGATTGCGTTGAGGATGATGGTGACATCGAGAACGTCTGCGTGTTTCTTGACGCGAGATTGGGTTGTAATTGCGGCTGCTTTTCCGAATTCAGAGGACAGGACGTAGTCGATGGCCTTGTTGCGGCATATCAGAGGAAGCAATTCAAACGTCTTGCGGCGCCATTCGGCGAAGAAGGTGTAGATGTAGCTGAGAATTGTCCTCTTGCTGGCGTACTTTGTAATTCGACCTTGTATGACGATCGCCATGAATCTGGCGAATTCTTTGATGATTTCTGTAAAGTTTGGTCAAGGCGAGGTCGAGAGATGGGAGCGGGAAACGCACCATCGCTGGGTGCGGGAGTGTTTTCGACCAAGTCCTTCGTAAGCACAACCTCGCCATCGCGCGCTTCGCGGAGTTCGATAAATTTTTCCCAGAGGCACATCACTCGAGCGTGGTTGCTCAAGGCTCCGGGCGACAGCTTGCGGTAGTGAGCAACAGCGAGAGAGCCAGTAACTGCGACGAGAGTTTCAGGATCCTTGGCGGCTTCTTCGAGTCT